ATCTTTTTTGTTGTTGTTGTATATTTATTTTTATAAAACTTTGACATTGGATTTGTCATTGCTGTTATTTGTTGTTGTTGTGTTTGTTTTTGTAGTATTTGTTTTTGTCAAACGTTACGTATACGTAATATTTTACTCATTTTGTTTCGCTCGCTATGTTGTGCCATGTTTAAACAAGTAAAACTCGTGAAAATTACACACACACACACATACATAAGAGGAAAATTGTGCTGAGAGACACAATATTTATATGTTATATATGTATATATGACATATATGAGAAAACTTAAAAAAAAATTGAAGTCTAAAGTGGAATTTTTGTTATTTGTTTGTCGCGTCGCGTTTTCAACTGTTTTTTGTTTGTTTTTTATTTTTCCCTGTGTAGTTTGTTGTCGTAGTCTGTGTCCATATACAGCCTTTGTTGCAATTACTCACACACACGCTCGCACACACACACTGCACACACAGAGAGAGGGAGCGAGAGGGAGAGAATTCTATAGCAGCTAAATTATGTCAAAGGTTTGCTATCTGCCTCTCGCTGTTTTTTTAGCATAAGCCCAGCTGCTTGTAATTTCTTTTATTGAATAAGCATTCATGGCAGTTGCACACACACACACACACACACACACACACACACACACACACACACACACACACACACACACACACACACACACATACATACACTATTTGCAGTGCATTTGGCTTGCGTTTGCTCCTCACATTTATCCAAAATATTCGGCATTGTGTAAAGCGAAAAAGTCACGAAATTTGTTGTTCTTGTTGTAGTTATCGCCTCGTTAAATTGTAACTCATGTACTACACGGCAAGAAAAGACGTGCTAATACACACAAATTTGAAATTTCCAACTTAATGAAGCATCCCAAAGTATTTGTAGAAATTTACTTGATTTCGAAAATATTAAATGAGCTTTTTTGAAGAATTTTACAAATTGTGATATATACCTGGCCTACCTAAAAATATCTAAACTTATCATGAAATAACAGATTCTTAGAGGTTTATATAGAATTCAGAAGAACTTTTGTTCGCTTATCATTTGGTGTTTCTGTTTTCTTAAATATGAGCCAAGAAATTAAGAGTTGGATTACTCATAGAGTATATGGCTGTCATAGGAAATATATGCCGTAAATAATTAATGTTTCTTTTCTGTCGAAAGCAAATGCAACTTTAAAGCAATATTTAATTTACTATACATCATATATCATATATCATATATCATATATCATATGTCATATATCATCTATCCTATGTCGTATATCATATATCATATATCATATATCATATATCATATATCATATATCATATATCATATATCATATATCATATATCATATATCATATATCATATATCATATATCGTATATCGTATATCGTATATCATATATCATATATCATGTATCATATATCATATATCATATATCAAATATCATATATCATATATCATATATCATATATCATATATCATATATTATATGTCATATATCATATATCATATGTCATATATCATATATTATATATCATACATAATATATCATATATCTTATATCATATATCGTATATCGTATATCATATATCATATGTCATATACAAAATATCAAATATGAAAATATACATTATGTGTCTATAGCTCTGTAGGTATTACTACTTCCGAAAAGTAACACGAATTTTCGTTTACTTTTCTACAGTTATTTATTGTTTAGTGAAAATCTTCTTTGTGTTCTTTAAAGTAATTGCCATGCAGGTCCATTCAATTGTAGTGTAACGTCGTCACAAATTCTTTGCTCCATATATTCATATAGGCCACCATCGAAGACGCATCAAGGCATGTCCAAGCAAAGCAGTTGTCAAAAATGAACCAAGCACTCCATATTTCCGAAATTGTTGGCATTAGTCAGGAACATAAGTAGCAAGATAACGCCCCAGATAACCCAGAAATCGAGCACGGAAATACTCTTCAAACGGAGCTTAACCTATTCTGCTTGTTCAACAATGTTAGCTAAGACATTAAAACTTCTGCCAAATGTTGTTCAGTGTAGGCTGCTGCATGTTGCAATTGCTGCAAATTGTATTGCCTGCCAAACGAGTTTCAATTTACAATCTGACTGGCAAGTTTACAATCAGCTAATCAGCTGGGCAAATGTCGCCTTGAGCGAGTTTGTTTCTTATTGAAGTAATTTCGCTATGACAAGGCGACGTATTGATAAGATGTTTTACTTTTATTTGTTTTGATGTTTGAGACGTTTGCCAAGATTACGCCCACTCCACACAAACACACGCACACACACATACACACGCACACAGTCATACATATAATTGTAATTTAGTTTTGCGTCAGTAACTCAATTTGCAATGCGAAATCGATTTCCGTTTAAAATGTCGCCTAAAGCTGACAACGCGCAAATGGAAATTGCAGAAAATGACGATAGTTGGAGAGTCGAAGGGGCAGAGATAGACAGAGAGAGAGAGAGAGTAAGAGAGAGGCAGAGAGTGAGAGAGTTAAAGTGGATGGCCAGTAAAGCTTGACGGCCAGGGCCCAGAGCCAAGGCCAGGGCCACGGCCAGGACTAGTTGGCTGAGCGCCGACTCCGCTGCTGCACAAAAGGTCAGGGTCAAATGTGCCATCAACAAAGTTGCACTTTGCCAGAGAGTGGGAGAGTGGGAGAGAGAGAGATATATTGAGAGTGTGTGTGTGCGTGCCTGAGAGTGGGAGGTGCAAGTCAACAGGCGACTTTGACTTGTCAGCTTTGCGGCCGGGGCGCCGCCTTTTACGGCTGCTGTTAATGTTGCCTCATTTTGTGGCATTTGTATGCGCGGCGTTTGCGTTGATTGATTTATTCGCCCGCTGCGTTGTGACAACTCATATCAACTGGCAAGCTTCCCAAGAGCTTCGAGCGTGTACACACACAGCGCGCCAAAGGGGTATATTAACTTACATATATATTAAGGTGTGAATGCAAAGTGTTAAAAGATGTTAGGTCAGGGGTTAGCTAAGTGCCTTCGACTTAAAGTCTCTCAGCATTGGAGTGAATAGCGACTAAAAACTTGACATTTGACATGCTTAAATATTTGTGTCAGAGATCCAAGAGCATCCATGACTCTTAAGCATTCATATTAATCATCAACTTGATTTCTTACAGTTTGACGAGCACTGCTTACAGTTTACACTGAGTTGTAGTTTATCAGCAATCTCAAAAGCTGTCGCTGAGCTGCCTTAAGCACTGCACACAGGCAGAGTAAAACGCAGTCGAGCATACTCTATAATCACATGCACGACAACTTTTACTATTGGCCTAGAATAACATCCTTATCAGCGGCATTCCATGATCATCTAACAAATTGCTGTGAGTCGCTTTTCAGTCGCGTTTTTTGTTTACCCCGCAAATCAATTCGATTCGGTTTTTTCCTCATTTTAACGTGATTCTTCAAACGCTTTTGTTTAGATAATTAAAAGTTTATGGATTTTGGCCATTTTGTATTTGTTTTGCCGGTTGTTTATTGACAGCGTATCTCGCTTTGTTTATTTGAAGTAGATTGCTTGGGATGGGCTGTTTTCTAGAATACTATAAACTGTTATAAACAACTTGTAATGCGACTAAATAGACTCTAAATGTCTTATCTAGCTGTAAAGCGCCAATATACTTGGCGATTATGACAGTGTTATGACTAATTTGTAGTTAATTACTTTAAATTATGCTGTTCTTCAAGTGTTATACATCTGTGATACAAATTACTATCGTTACCAGTTACTGTGATAGCCATTTGATAATTTAAAATTAACTCCTATCAAACTGTTATACACTAATTTTGAACTGTTATACTTTTGCAGTAACTGTTATACTTTTTAAACAGAATGTGATACAGCCGTGCTCAAAAGTCTTTTCTTCATCGGGCATCACAACTGTTTCTAATGCTTAATAGTTACAAGTCTAAGTTATAAACAGCTGTTATACCTAGTAATTATTGCTATGTTCGCACTAATTTAAGCTTAATTGAAGGAGACACCAATCTAAGTGCTTGCTTTACGAGACAAGTGTTTACCTAACTGTTACTTATGTCATCACTCGGATAGCTATAGTGTCCAAGTGTTATACAGAATAAGCAATAATAATAAGCAAATTACTTAACTGTTATACTGTAGATTTGCTATTTGTTATATTTGTTATATGCAGTACATTCATTACTAAACACTGCTCATATAACAGTAATTCGCCCTTTGACATAAAGAGAGCAAACAGCACTTTCTCTCTCTCTCTCTCCCTCGTTGCATTTAAATGCAACTTAATCTGCGAGCTGTGCACCCGGTTGACGTCAGCCACAGTCAGCAGATATTAAAAGCTGCCGAGATGTACAATTTTTGTTTTTATCCCGAGTGCAATTCACGAATGTAATTGGCTAGCTGCAGCAGCAGCAGCAGCAACAGCAGCATCAGCCTTAGCACCAGCTGCAGCTGTGCGGAGGTGGAGACTTTGAACGCGCTGCTGCGTGATTTGTTCCATTTGTTGCCAGCGAACTTTGAGCTACCAAAAATAGATAAACGAGCAGCTGGAATCGGGACTCGGCTGATGCTGTTGAAGCTTTGCTGCCCGCCTACATCAAACTGACTTTTGACATATAGAAACAAGAGTCAGCAAACACCCTTCCCGCCCACCAACTGACGCAAATAGCTGAAGTTGCAGCAGCTGTTGTAGACCGACTCCCGTGGGCGGCGTGAGTGCAAAATGGCTGCTTTTACCTGTCATGTTTTCAAGGGCGTCAATTATGGGAAAACTCTAAAGCTGTTATACGCACTCTTATACTGTCTTGTGTTAAAACATAAAAAGCTCTACTGATGTCTTATACGCTGTGTAACTATATCCTATTGTTTAAACTGTTATACGCTTTAGTTCAATCTAAAATACTCTTATACTTATGCAATGATTTTCTATTTTATATATTATATAAAACTGTTATACTTATTGCAATTTCATTGGACTTGTTGCAGGAACAAGTCAAACTGGATGCCAGCAAACAGGTAATCAGCCCAGACGATTGTGAGGATCTCAGTCCAATGCCACAAACAGCTGCACCGCCCGTTCGCAGGCGCGGCGGCATCTCCGCCGAGCCGGTGACCGAAGAGGACGCCGCCAACTATGTTAAAAAAGTCGTACCCAAGGATTACAAGACAATGAATGCCCTGTCCAAGGCCATAGCCAAAAATGTGCTCTTCGCCCATTTGGATGAGAGCGAACGCTCCGACATATTCGATGCCATGTTCCCGGTGAATCATACGGCTGGCGAGAATATCATACAACAGGGCGACGAAGGCGACAATTTCTATGTCATCGATGTGGGCGAGGTGGAGGTGAGTAGAGAATCAGGGAAAGGCTGATATTCGATATTCGATATTAACGTGATATACATCTCTTCCAGGTGTTTGTAAACTCCGAATTGGTGACCACCATCAGCGAGGGCGGCAGCTTTGGTGAGCTGGCTCTCATCTATGGTACACCACGTGCTGCCACGGTGCGTGCCAAGACCGATGTCAAGCTGTGGGGCATCGACCGCGACAGCTACAGACGCATCCTGATGGGCTCAACCATACGTAAGCGCAAAATGTATGAGGAATTCCTGTCGCGTGTCTCGATACTAGAGAGCCTGGACAAGTGGGAGCGCCTCACCGTTGCCGATTCGCTGGAGACGTGCGCCTTCGAGGATGGTGAAACGATTGTCAAACAGGGCGCAGCAGGCGATGACTTCTATATTATACTCGAGGGCTGTGCCGTTGTCCTGCAGCAGCGCTCCGAGGTGAGTGCCCTAGGACGCTCAATCGATGACAAAAACTAATCCATTTTTGTATTCCAGCAGGGCGAAGAGCCCGCCGAGGTGGGTCGTCTGGGCTCCAGCGATTACTTTGGCGAGATCGCTTTGCTGCTAGATCGGCCACGTGCAGCAACAGTTGTCGCTCGCGGCCCGCTCAAATGTGTCAAGCTGGACAGAGCGAGGTAACTACAGATTGATGGATGATGATTGATTGATTGACAGTTGCTTAACTGTGAAACTGTTAATAGACTTCAGTTAGTGTAGTTAGCTAATTTTATGTAAATATGTGAGATATTTGTTTGAGGTTTGATTGACTGACTGACTGATGAAACGCTTACGCCTAGAGTTTGCTATTAAAGCTGACATACTTAATTGTTAATTATAATATATAAATATGAGTATATTGTATATTGTAATTTATTGGAACTTGCTTAATGACTGACTGATTGAGTGATGGATAGATGCTCAGTTCACATTTATACAGTGATTGTTGTAGTATTCCATTGTTCTCTAGTTACCTAAACTTTAAGTATAAATATGTATAGATAAGTTTTGTTTTGATTGATGTAGTTAATGATTGACTGACTGGAAGTGTATGATATAGGTGGGAATTGGCAAAATATTGTAAAATAACTTTTAGTTTATTATAAAAGTGATGAGGAAAATTAAGTTATAATTATACTAAGCAATTTTTTCTTTATTTTCTTTACAGATTTGAACGCGTTTTGGGCCCCTGCGCGGATATTCTCAAGCGCAACATAACGCAGTATAACAGTTTCGTTTCACTGTCCGTCTAAGCTGGCCAAAAACCACCAACAATAACAACAAGTACACTACATCAACAACAACAACAACGCAGCTCGCATGCCAATAACAACAAACAAATCGCTCAGCAGCATAAAAAAAAAACAAATTTTCAAATTAAAAAAAAAAAAACAAACAAAGAAAAACTGAAAATGTTTCAAAGAAAAACCCATGTAAAGCCCTAAACTAAAAACAAAACAAAAACAAAAGGGAGAAGAAATACAGATTGAGTTGAGCTCAGCTGTGTATAGAGAGGGAGGCGGCGTAGGGGTTGCAGGGGATTAAGGGGGTGGGGGTTGGGGCTAAAAATATGTTAAATTACGTATATGAATTCTGTATGTTGTGCAATGAAAAGTTACATATGTATTTGTGTAATGTGTGTGTTAATTTTTTGGTGTACACAAGTTGCGGCATGTTCCCCAACAACAACAACAGCAACAACAACTTAAAAACCTAAACAAAAACCTTCCACAACTCGTCGCACTGAGCTGTTCAAAACTTAAGAAAACTGAAAAAGCAAAAGAAACAAAAAAAAATATATAGAAATGCATTTCATATAACACTTTTTCTACGACTACTGGTTGATATATATGTATAACAGTTATATATATATATTTCTTTATAGCGGAACATGCTGCCAGAAAAAAAAACAATCTCATTTAATAATAATCATTGGAGATCTGAATGTTTTTTACAGCAAAAAAAAAAAGATTTATGAATAAAAGATAAACATATATACAAAATTAAGCTCTAACACACACACACACGCGCATGCTGAGTTAAAATCTAAAATATAGTTTACTCATTTTTTTTCTATATAATTTATTATTATTTGTTGCACAAAGGGCGAATTTGTTCATACTATTAGTAAATTATTGTTTTAATATTGAAGAAGAAAAAAACAAAATGAAGTCAAAAATCAAAAACAAAAAAAAACTTAAATAATCACAAATTTTCTTAATTAATTAAAAACAATTTGAAATTCGTGTTTTGTTTAGCCTATGTGAACTCTGTTATACACATGCACACGGACATTTCAAACTGTTATACTCTGTTATACATGCGCCGCATAACCAACTGGCATTTTTTCTAACAACTGCCAGCCAAAAAACAAAAAAAATAATAACAAAAACTCAAAGAAAACACAAGAAATTGTAAATTAAAGAAAGGAAACAAAAAAACTAAATTTTAAAGCTTGATTAACGGTGCTTGCAAATGTGTGTGTGTGCGTGCCTGTCACACACATACACATGTACGCAGGCGCAGCAGGAATTCGTTTGTTTTGAGAGAGAGAGAGAGAGGCAAGCCACGCCCCCGCGCCGCAGAGCGCGTGCGAGAGCGACTACACCCGCCGGCGGGTTAGACTAAAGAGAGAGCAAGAGAGAGAGAGAGAGCGAGAGCGAGAGAGCGAGAGCGTGCATTAGCATTGAGCGCGCATGTGTGCAAAACAAAAGCTAAATGCTATGAAAATGCAAATGGCAGACAATGCGTAAAGATCAACTGCGAGTGCGAGCGAGACAGCGCATATAATTTAAAATAAAACAAGAAACTAAAACTAAAACTAAAACTAAAAAATTATTATCAATGTAAAATCGTATGTACTATAAAGAGTAAAATGCAAAAAACTAACAAAAAAAACAAGAAAAAACGTAATAAATACATTTACATAGATGTTGCAAAAACAAAAATGAAAAGAAAAAACCAAAAAAAAAAAACCATCACCAACTTTTGTCCATCAGAAATTTAGTTTATTTTTTTTTTAAACGGCTTAACACAAAATTCAGAGACATTACTTTTATCGGAAAAATATTTATATACATAGAGAGAGAGAGAGAACCCAAGCAGCCCACTGCTCTAATGTTGCTGGACGCCATCATTTGGTTACCCACACTATTCACCTACATATTGTTCCTGCTCATACTGATCATACTGTTCTTCATTGTCGCCTATGTTAGCCACAAGATCTACATATCCATCTATGACAATCTGCCCTTGCCGGCGGCGCCTGGCTCGCGCTACTCGAATCGTGTGCAATCGGCACGTTCCGAATCATTCGGCAATCAGATGAGCGCACGCTCCCTTTGGATACAGAATCGCTCCCAGATCTATGAATCATCAGTGGGTAAGTCGAGCAGATATACGAACATATACATATCAATATACATATATATAGCGAGGTATATTGAGCTAGTCTGCCTGCAGTCCGCATTACACTCACTGTGGAGGCCTGCTATCTGGTCAGCGTCGAGCTGGACATCTATAAGAATCCCAGCCAGCGTGGCATTAGTTTTATGTGCAACTGCAAGACGGACGTTGACAGGTGCGGCGCCGTCGTCCCCAGGGCGGCGTCCAGTGTGCGCGTGCTCAAGTACTACGATCATTTGTCCAGTGTGCCACGTCTTAAAGCTCTGCTGCGCAGCAATGAGCGCAAGAATATGCGCCTGGTGCTCGACGATGTCATCAAGGATGTGTGTAGCACAGATCCATTGCCGGCCTGCTCTGCGGCCATCAGTGAGAATTGAGACGTCGAGGCGAACAATTGAACGAGCCGCAAGCGTTGCCAACTGTGCGTGTGCGCGAGCGAGCGAACTAGCTATAGCAAAGCTCGGGCCAAAGTTCTTTGTGCGAGACAGTTCGATAGCGAGTGCGAGCGGGAGAGGGAGAGAGAGGGCCAGGGGCAGCTGTCCACAGTGGGCTCGCTTGCATTTTAAATTAGAGTCTCATCTTTTAATTGTTGTTCGATAGAACGTGTTTTACTCTTTATAATATTATATTGTGTCTTTATTTTTGTATGGATAAAATCAAATACATGTGCATATGCATGGTGGGCGTGGCGCTGTGGTCATGCCTTTAAGCTGAGTGTCTAGGAGATGTACATATATATATATATATAGAATATATATGTATATATGAGGGCTATTTTTAATCAGACAGGTTTCAGCTGTGGCTTTAATTAACGGTAAATTTTGATTTTGCTATTTGTTTTGTATTATATGAAGTTTTTTTGAAGTGAGAGTGAAATAAATTAGGTTCTGTTTTCTTTGTCGAGAAGAAAATCTCAGACGACACCGACTGCATAATACTCGTTCAAATCAATCATATGTGGGACGTAACATTTTTACTCTTTATATTAACTAATATTTCAAAAAATATTTTATATAATTTCATAAAAATGTTTATAATTCTCTGCAATTATTTACTTAAAAAAAAAAAAACAATTTGTCTATGTCTAAAAATTTATTTATCTTTGACTATAAAAAAGTGATTAAATATGTGGAATACTTAATCAAAATTCTCGCCGCTTCTTCGTCAAGTGGTAAACGTGCTCGAAAAGCCGCCTGACGATCGTATGTTGCCGTTTTTATTGTTGCTTTTCGACTTAAACAGACCAAAATTAGTGATATCTTATCGCATTTGGTGTCTATAAACGTTTTATCAGATAAGTCGCAACGTCTGGTCAAATAGCTTTCTCTGTTCCCCCACGAATGGCTACGCAATTTGCTTCCAATTTTATTGCTAGCTTTTATTCATTTAATAAAGCAAAGAATAATATATATATAGGTCTATATGTATATATAGTTATATATATATATGAACAAAAGTTGTAGATTTTATTGCTTGATTGGGCTGAATCTATAAATTTGTTGTGGCATTCAATGAATTGTTTGATATATAAAATGAATTTATAACTATACCCTGTGGCTGGGGAGCTGACTCGAAGCGGTATACTATACTATAAAAATCTAGCAATTTAGGGTAACATTATATAACAATGTTATTATAGATAAAATAGTTAACTAAATATCTTATCTCAAGCCTCTAACCTCTAGCAAGTCTATAATCTTACATCAATATATTTAGCTCTAATTATTAGTCTATAAGTCTTATGACCTTAAGTGCGGGTATTACCTGCCCATCATACCTACATTTTCAATAGATAAGAACAGTCATCACTTTTACTTCACCTATAAAGGTCGATGTTATATCTAAGAAATCTATTAAATGGGTATATATATTCTTATTCTGTTATGTGCGACTATATTATATACTATAGGTAGTCTAGGAATACTCTATATTCTGGAGCTAGCACTAATTGAGCAATGGAGCTCTTTATTAAACCTGAAGTGCATACAATTAATATAGTACTAGAATAGATCTATTGCATTTAGCAGTTTCTGGTTCAATTTTGATGAAGTTTTTGGGCAAAGTATTTGGAGGAGTATTTCAACTCCTATATCATTTTCAAGCCAAATTTCTATTGAATCTTGCGGTATTTAAACGTCGTTCATTTGTTGTATTGAACAAACATTAAATTATGGCTGACAACTAGACATATTTTTTGACTACTCAGCGATATACATATATGTCCCCAAGTAATGGATGTATCCAAAATTAGTATAGCTACAGATAGGTCCAATAGTCCAATGAATAAATGCAATTGAAAGGGATTAACTGCATGCTTTTTTATATATATACTGCTATAGCTCACTTAAGATCAGAGATCAACTAATAGACAAACACCTATATATATATATTTATATATCATATATATACTTAATCAAATGCAACAGATTTCTATGAAAGCTTTAGAGCTCAATGCAACGCATTTCCAGATACATATAGCGCTATATATAGATCACGCGTCCACTCTACATATATTTATAAATTTATATATATATATGTAGATAGATACAAATAAACATATATATAGAACCGAGTGCAGTATCCATTATAATTATACTGTAACGATAATGATATCTACAACAATGAAATTGCGCGCACTTTGTACAGAGTATCTGAGTGGCAAGTAACTCTCTCAGCCTAGAACTAATTCCAACTAGTTTTGTAGCTGAAAAAAAGAAATATAAAAATAAATTATATTTGTATGTATATATATGTCATACAGAAACCGGGTGTTTGGATGCGAAACACTTCAAACTGACCCTGGTTAATGTAAGAAGCGCGCGCTGCTCCCCCGCTGCCTCGGCCCAATCCATAAACAAGTTTAGATTTATCAGAATAGAGAATGAGAGCGAGCGAAAGAGCGGAGCGGAGCTGCGCTATGCTGAGTGAAACGCGTTATACGCGGCGTATACGTAACGACAAAGTTCTATACGAAGTTCGACACACGCGGGCCAGTTGAGGCGCAGGTGTCAATGCACACGGTACAGCAAGTCGGCAGCAGCAACAAATAAGTGAAATAAAAAAAGAAATATTTAAGTTCATATATATATATATATATATATATGCGCGTGTGTGTGTAAATGGGCGTATATATATAGACGTGTGTGCGACATTTAATTAGCATACGCGTTTCACTTCAGCTCGCTCTCGCTCTCGCCCTCTGCCTCTCTCTGTGTATCGCTGGTTCTCTGCTTGGCTTGTCTGGAAAACAAAAAAAAAAAAAAAAGAAGCAAAACAAAACAACCAAAAATTATCCAAATACAACACAAAAGTTATTTCTTGTTTTTTGGAAGAAACTCTTTCAACACAATGCTGGATCCCATATCGGACGCGCCGCTGGTGTTGGCCTATGCGTTTATGTCGCTGCTGGTGCTGATCGTGTGCTTTATTTTATTCAATGTGGTGCACAAGCTCTATCGCAGCATGGGCGCTGGTGATGGGGGCGTGTCGAGCTGTTCGCTCAAGACAGCTATGTTGGAGGTGGATGTCATGAAAACCGGTTAACAGACAGAAGCACAAACAACATTAATCACAAGAACAACAACAACAATCATCACGATGAACGCCGCTAAACGAGAATCTCGCTTGTGGATCAGATTAGCTGCAAACTTATTGTACATAAAAGATAGTTATTTAGTCTAGCTGTAAGCGTAGTACCTAAATATATATAAACACATATATTCCAGATGAGACGACGCGGATCTGTCTAGTCACTTAATTAGCCATAGCTTAAAATAATAGGTAAACGCATCGACATTGATATTGTAAATAAAATATAAACATCTATAAATATAAAACTTTGTGTGAATCAAGTGCAAAGCAATTCGTTGTTTGTGGCCTGATAGTTTCTTATCACCGATTTGCTATCTGTGCGTACAATCAATAATGGTTTTGGCATTTTTTGTGATTTTGATTGGTATGCGCATTAGTCATTGATTTATACATTAGTGTTTCTTTTTTATTATTTTAAAATAGCATGTTTCCATCTATAATTTAGCAGTTGTGTCTGCTTTAGTGGTTGCTGCTGCGGCTCTTGCCCATACTGCTGCTACTGCTACTGTTACTGCTGCTGCTGCTGCTGTTGCTGCTGTTTCCCTCATTTGCTCAATCCGTGGGATCGCTGTCAATGGAATTTGAATTTTGATTGTTGCTTGATTTTCTTGATTTCTTGTCTTGCTTACCCCGAATAGGTCTTGGGGTGCTGCGACGCCAAGTCCTCATCCTGACTGCCTAACGACTTTTTCACATACTGCAAAGATTTTCAAAAATTCCAATTATAATAAATATCTTTATGACATTTTGTTAAGCATTTACCATGGGATTTAGTATAATCTCCTCTTCCATTTTGTTGATTTGTTTAACCAAATCGAGCACCTGCGTTATGTTTGTTTGCACATTAAGAAACATGTCGGGCAAATTATATTGTTCTGGATCATCCTTGAAGAGCACCATGCCATCCTTTTGATTAATGCTGGCAAAAATTTCGCCCGATTTGATCTGACAGCACAGGAAATAGAGAATATGTATTTAAAGCATATACTAATAGATATAGAGAACGAACCATATTTAAGATGTAGCGCTCAGCTTCCGCTGCACTTGGCAATTGGACGCGACTGGCGACATCGCTCAGGGAAAGCGTGAGAAAAGTTTTCGTCAGACGTTGTATATTTCGCTTGTAAAGGGAAGTCGCAACCTGCTTGGCTAGGCCCATATTATTATCACGCGTAAATGCTTCACTGTATTTGAGTATTATAATGCGCAGCTCTTCGCTTGACGAATTGCCATACACATTGACCAGATCATGATAATGACTAGCCAGTGGTTTCATAAAACGTCCTATGACCTGTGCGTTCTTTGGTATATACGCTATCTGAAAAGGTATACGGTTAACATTATTGAATCACAATTGAATTGTAATAGCGATTGAGCGCTTCACCTTGCCCTCCACTATCAATGAAACCATTAGAAACTTTTTGTATGCCTCCAGCATAATGTGCGACATGGCCATCGCTGGCGTTGTGATGCACACCTCAAAGAAATAGAGAGCACGCTCATAGTTTTTAATAGCCGTGTAGATCATGCCGCCATAATAATAGTATAACAAAAAGTACTTTGCATCGTTGTTTGCATCCTAATTAGAGTAGACCAAATAGATTTAAGTTAGAATTAGCCACTCTCAAATATAATTGAAATGGTTTTTTACGAGCGTGTGCTGCGGCTGCTGTTGCTGTTGATTTTTGCACTCGGCTGCTACGGTGGAAATATCTGTTACATCCATATCCAAATAAGGCAGTATTAGATTAAAGTTTTTCGACTTTAGGCTCAGCTGGCAGAGATCGGCGTGTATGGGCGTTAGCTGTGTATCCATTTGTCGTATTTGCTCAATGGCCAGCGAGAGCACTTTAATGCCCAAAATGCTTAAATTCTGCTGCACCAAAAAGTCCGTAAACAAATGACAAGTCTCATAGACTAGAGAGTAGAGAGCAGACTTTAGAGATTGGAGAGGAGAGAGGGTTATATGTAGTTACATGGGCACACGGCGTAGCGCAGTTGGTCCACATTGCTGCGCTGCACAAATTCACGCATTAACTCTATAATTTGCATTGGTTCTGGATTTGCGGTCGCAACGCTGTGTAGCTTGCCGAGCAGCACGTAGAGGACGCCCAGCGTATGCTGTTGCATGTCCAGTGTTTCAAGCACATTGTCCAATATGCTCCAGTTGCGCACCAGCAGGGACAGCGATTCGGGCAACACATCCGCCAGCTCGCGATAACTGCCTGCATATAAGAAATGCATATACATGTATATATATATATATTTATCATCCTTTTATTGTGTGCAAAATTGCTTTCGCTGCCGGCACTTACCCGCTGCACTTAGCGTGCGCACCTGATTTACATAGTTTTCCAGTGCGCTCCCCATTTTTGTTTTTTATTTATGCAAATGTCTATGAAGTCCGAGACTATGGCCTTTCTACAGTTTTATCGCTAAGAACTAATAAATTAAATAAAATAAAATATTTCTTTACGCGTTCGCGTTTTTCCTGTTGACAGTGTGACCGTAAACTGCAATAGTTCATATGCCAAAACACTGGCTCGCTGTAGATACAATTCTGAAAGGGTGGCAACGTTTTTTTTTCAAAGAACCGAAGTTCTTTTCAGAGATGTGCGATAGTTTATATTGATATGAGCTTTTATTTAAATATGGTATTAACTATTAGTCTTTGGTAAAATAATATGTGCTAGTGTTGCATCACGTGGTATTAACAGTCAGTTAAATGCTGTTGTCAAACAGCTGAACCTTGCCAGTTCAGCCAGATGATTGAAACCGGTTTTTGGAATAATATAGATTAATACTTCGCTAACTACCCATTTCAAATTGTTCATCCAGAAGCACTGTGTACTGCTGTTAAATTCAAATTTCAGCGCTATGAAACTGTTGTTAACATTTAACCAAGCTGTTAACTGTCAGCGCCGTTAAGGAAACAGCTGATAGTTGACTGATAACCTGAAATTGTAGTTATAAGAAGTGTTTGGTTTAAAATGGAGTTGCCTGCACGCATTGTGTATGTTTGCAGCTTATGTTTGCGGCAATATGATTTACTGGAAGATCTGCGCGGCCACATGATGTTATATCACGACTGCCAGCCCATCAAAACGACGAACAAGAAAACACAGTCAGTGGATCGAGAGTCCTTAACGCCGCCGCCACCTGCGGAACTGCAGCCGCTGCCCTTCAAGGACTTTCGCATTGTGTTGCGTGCCAATCAACAAGTGAAGTAAGTTAATGACATTATCTTAATGCATATTTATTAAATATATGCATTGCAGTTGCAGCTGCTGCATCTATAAATTTGAGGATCTTCACAAGTTGTCACTGCACTCCAAATGCCACAAGGATTCGGGTTTCAGCTGCAGTGAGTGCGGTCAGGACATGCCCAATTGGCGGCGCTGTTCGCTGCATTTGTGGCGCATGCATCACCTGGATGTGGATCTATTGCAATGCCCCGTCCTTGGCTGCGATTACAAATCTCCAATTTCGGCACTCGTCTGGCGCCACATGCGCGTCCACAGGAAGTGGCGGAGTAGAGTCATGCGACGCGAGCTGCTGCGTCGGCGAGCGCAGAAGCAGCAACAGCAACAACAAGAGCAGCAGCAGCGACAAGAAGAGCAACTACAGGAGCAGCAGCAGCAGAATGAATGTGCCGATACACAGCAGTCGTTGCCAGCAACGGCCACAGCCAAGAAGACTAAATACTATGCGGAGAAAACGTGCGAGATATGTCAACGTAAATTTGTGAACGGAAAAACGCTGTCCAAGCACGTAAAGACCGTCCACAATAAGATAAAACCCTTCATTTGCAACGTCTGCGGCAAGAAGACGGCGCGGAAGGCGAGCCTAATTGTAAGAACTTTTCATATATCTATCTAGCTACTCTATATGGCTGTCTCACTATCTATCTACTCATTTGTCTGTCTGTGTATAAACATATCTATCTATCTATAGCTTATGCACATGCCAAAGAGTTCCAGAAGGACTTTGAGTTTTTCATAAGTGTTGAAAGTGAAGATGAGAAATTATCTAGATATATATATCTCTGAGGTGAAAGAAGTGAGGGTAATTATTGATCATTATTTAGCTTATATCTTGCAGAAGAATTCTGGAATCAAACAATTTAGAGTGCTTTTAGCGGAGGTGCTAGACTTGAAGATACCCTGAATCAACTCAACTGATCGGTAATAAAGAAATAGGTTTCTAAATGATTAGAAGAGGTTCCGGTTTTTCAAAGCTCAATGATCAATGAGCCCAGTTAATATAAAAGGAATAACCGTATATATGTATATCTATACAACTTCTATAATAGTCATTCGACATTTACAGATCCACATGCGCCAGCACACGGGCGAGAAGCCATTGAAGTGTGAGAGCTGCAAGTTCTCCACGCGTGACCCCAGTTCGCTCTACAAGCATCGACAGCGCCACAGCCTGGAGAAGAGCAGAGAAAATGTCTGATACCGACCACTTACAATTTTAATTAAAACAGAATTCATACTATATTTAAGTAAAAGTTCAATTAGATGACTTGAATTTAAATGTTCATTTATTGAGTTTACGCTTTCCATTTAATGTTAATATCATTTTAGAATCTGATATGATTTTGGTTTTTTTTTTTGTTTTTTTTTACAACATTTGAATTTCTTTTTAGTTTGTTTTGATTTATGTTTTTATTTTTTAGTTATGGTTTTATGTTTTTGTTGAATTTTGTTAAAGTTATTTTTATTTTTTAAACTAGTTTTTAAGATTAAAAATCTAACCTTATGTGGTCTTTGCAATTAGTGACGCTCATGCGGGTTTCCTGGTTAATATATCCAGTATATATATATATATATATATATTTAAATATATATATTTGCCTCAGTCCAATTTAATGAGATCGGCGCACATAGTACATACATATATATCCTTAAATATATATGTATATATGTTTTCGTATTTTGCCTAATTGAATATATAACTCTTTTTGTTTACTAAATCAATTTATATAAATTTGATTGCATTTAATGTTTAATTTAATTGAATTTAAGTTTACCGATCTTTGAGTATCTTGTATATATATAGTATATATATATATATATGTATGAGTGTGTGTGTGTGTGTGAATTTTTGTAGTGTTTCTTTATCTCTCAAAGTAGTTTGAAATGAAAATTTTGTTCGCGCTTTTTCGTAATTTTATTGTCTGCGATTTGATTTGAACATCAAAACTTTGTATGGGATCTTGTTTTCTTCTTCTTCTAATTATAGTTAAATGTAGTTTATGCTTTTTTAATGATAAATAAAACAGCGCAGTGTAAAATTGTTATATATAGTTTCTATTTGCTTTCTATTTTGCTTATTTACAATACTTAATAAAGTTGTTTGGAAATATTGCATTTAAGATCGTATTCTCATTGATCTGTTTCTCCCTCTCTGCCTCTCTCTCTCAGTTGTTGTTGTTGTTGCTGGCCAAGTCTTTTCTAGGCCTTGGTCTCAGCGACGACGACCACTTTGCTCGTTCTCATCTTGCAAAACGAATAAATTCAGCAGTAAAAAGCATATAAAATAGAGAATTATGGAATTTACTTTTAATTAGCTGCCACAAGAGCCCAGAGCCAACAAAAATTACCATGCATAGAAAAGGTTTATTTTTTGTTTTGGGGTTGCCGTGTGTGAGAGTGTGTGTGAATGGGGCGGCATTCAGGCAGTCTCTAATTGTGATTGGGTGAGCTATGAGCGCGAAGTTGTGCACAGAGATTTTTGGGGAGTCGAAACAACAACAACGAGTTCAACAATGAGCGTGACTTTGATTGTAAACACGATCCTAACTGTATGATCTCAGCATATATATCTGTATACATATACTTATTATGCTATATAATGGTTGATTGGGCTACTTTCTATGAAACAACTAACGAATTTACTCTAGCTTTTCTAGTTCTATATAAATATATTGATCTTGGCTGCAAACGGCGTTCGAATCGGAAAGTGCAGTTAGCTTAACAGCAATGGGATTTGGAAAACTGACCTGAAACGAGGCATGTCTAAGTGGGGTTGGCTTAGAAAACTTCAATAGTTTAAACTCTCGTTAAACTAGTCCGGGAAACACGTTTGGCTTACATTTCAACAGTAAAGCCATGGATGCTTAAAGAAATAAGGTTTAAGAAGTTATGCCAATGACGGGTTTGAGCCTCGAGTTAAATTAATGAAAGGCTTTTGGTGCATAGATGCATTAAGCCAGACTTTTGGAAAGAATTCTTTAGTTCACTAAAAAAATCTTCGGTTCAAGTTTTTAAACTTAAACGAAGTATAGAGGCAAAGGTAAGCATAAGGAGTTTGAACCTTGAACTCCAGCTGCCAGTTATCAATAAGTGGTTTTGGACTAAGTTCAAAGAATATTTCAGGATCAAATCCCTTGTAGGATTCGAACCTTTTCACTAAAGTTAAGCTTAGTTAGCTAAAAAAACAGATTTTAGTCTGGAACTCAAAAGAAATATATTTAAATATTTCTTTTTACTTAATGGTACGGGTTTCGTAATCCAATCCTTAAGCAAGATTTGAACCCGTGAACTAGCAACAGGCAATGTTGCTGTGTTTGCAGCCCTTGACATTGACATATATTTCCGTACGACTCTACGATCCGTTGATCCCAAAAGATCTTTCGACTATAATTCTTTCATTTTATTTGAAATTTATGCAAATTCTTAAAATGTAAAACACTTTCACTTACTTTCTACTTGGATTATTTTTCGACTATACTTCGACTTGATTTCTTATTTATTGGATAGTTCACTTTCACTTTGACTTTCGCTTTGAATTTCTCTTTTGGTTTTTCTTTACTTGTGCGCCGCATAATAAATGCTGTGGTTCGTCCCCTTGTGGACTGACCAGAAGAACAAAATACTACGTCTACTTTTTATATAGGGCGATTACCCCCCGCTTGTCCCTAGCTGAGAAGGTTTTCTCTTTAGTTTCTTTTGGCTAGTGTTTTCCTTTGTTTTGCTTAGAGTCTATTAGGAAACAGTTGTATCTACATAGGTCTATGAGCAATTCTTTATATATATATGTGTATAAAAAGAACCAAGTGGAAGTTGAAAACTGTTCACTCCCTGAACTAAAAGTCTAACGTGACGTTCGCTTTATGTACAGTGTGTGGAAAAAGTATTCCGACAAACTCAGGCCTAGAAAAATTGCTTATAAAACGAGTACGAGTTCGAGTTCGAGTTCGAGTTCGACCCCGAATTCTAGTTCGAGTCCGAGTCTTATGCCTTATATATATATTATTTTTTATATGTATATAAAACCGAGTTTTAAATACGAAATAAAAACTTTTCTCATATTTAAGTTTTTCTCTCCTCTTCTTCTATTTTCTTTTGATTTAAATGCATTTTAAAAACAGGTGAACGACTTTGACTTTGACTTTGATTACGGTATTTTTTTGATTTCATTTTAGTTTATCTTTCATTATTTTTATATTGCCTTTTGATCGCGTTTCGTATCGCATTTCAGTTTGATTTTCAGTTTTACTTTGAGTTTTGTTTTTTTTTTTTTCAGTTCCGGGGCACAATTCTGCACGTTATTTCAGTCGTGTTCGATCAGACCGTGGTCACACGATCGATCTCAACGTAACGCACAGAATTGTCGCTTTGTCAGCAAATCACCTCCTTTTCATCCAGCACAGCTGTATCCATGGAGCTGAGCGACTTGAGGCGCGTCTGCAGCACCGAAGAGCCGCGCAGTTTACGTTTTATTTTTCTAAGGAGAAGAGAAAGTGAATGAGTTAGACTTAAGAGTAAAGAGCGAAGAACGAAAAGTCTTGAAGAAGTTCAGTCTACTCACTTGTAGGCAAAGGCAGCGAAAGCACAACACGAGAGCACAAAGATCAGGCAGAGCGTGGCTAGAATTTCGGCGGGCAGTTTCATCAGAGCGGAGCACTGCAGGAAGGCCTCGTCGTCGCCCGAGGGGCAGTGCACGATGCCATCGCACCAGACGCTCGCATTCACACAGGCGCCCAGCTCGGCGCACTTGAACTGGCAATCCTCTGTGGACGATATCGAATGTAGGCAATCACTCGATCAACTACTGCAGTGCCCTGCTACTCACCTGCTATGCTGAGCGTGGGTCTGGGCACCAGTTCCATCCAATTGAAGCTATATTCGCCATTGCTGGGTCGCAGGAATTCCACGCTTATGGCACGCGAACGATTCATCAGCGCAAAATTGGGTCGCTCGTTCCAGCCGGAGCTGAAGATCTCCACAAACTCATAGCCATTCGAGTCGGGACTCAGCGGGCAGGCCACAATGGTTAGACCTGAATGCAGATAGAAAACTTTGTCTTTAAGGAAGTTTCTCTCTTTCAAGGCTAAGGCTCGGCCTACCCTCCGAGGTGGTGAGCACTGCTCGGGCTTTGGTCTCGCAGCGCCAGCTGTTCGTCTCCAGGTGCGTGGCATTCAGAGTCTTCTTCGGATTGTGTTTGCTCAGGAAGATGGCCTTAAGGCGCACGTAGAGAAACTTGTTGCCATTGGAGGGTTCGATGAGCCAGGGTCGCGAGCGGCATTCGATCTGCGAAGGGGAAAGCATATAGTAATGAAGAGGGAAGCTCAGATATGAAACCTGGATATCGATATTTATCGATTTTTTAATGGAACCCTGAAACCTAATTGACATTTGATATACAAGAAGTTCGCTTAGCTCTCAAAGTCTCCGAGATGGAAGCTATAGACCTGCTGCTTCTTCTTTCGCTTCAACATACATCCCCCATTTATATATCCTTACAGACCAAGAGAATCGTCTCAACACTTACATCACCAAAGGTCATGTCGATGGTGCCGCTGGGTCCGAACTTGCGTCTGCCATCCTTGCAGCTGGTGGGCGCCTTTACGAACTCGAACATGCCCTCGAAGTTGGCCGTGTCCGGATCGTCAAGTGTGGTCATATTGTGAGCTGTGAAGTGCACCTCGACATCACGACCCGTCGAGGTATACTCAACGGGCAGGTGGGACTGATTAGAGGAGTTGCAGACGCAGCCGCGATGTAGGAGAATGGAGTCCGAATAGGGACGCTCGAAGATCTGCAGGGGAAATTAAGCTCAAAATGGATTTCCGACTGTGGCAGCAGCAAGCAAACAAACCTCGACGCGCACATTCGTATCGCCATAGCAGAAGGAACGATTGATGTCCTCATCCAGACGTGAGTAGCAATTTCGATTCGAGGTCGTTACCTTGCGCAGCTTGATGCGCACTCGCTCTCCGCGCAGCGCCTCGAAACGATAGACGCATTTCAGGTGTCGCGTGCCGCCGCGTCCGAAGAGAAAAATGTTGCGCACACTGCGAAAGATCGCCGGATCCTTGCGATCCATCAGGCTGCTGACGAACTTCCTATTGCAGTCCAGCTCACCGCCGCCCTGTGGCAGACCATCCTGGTGCAGATCGATGAACTCATATTTCAGCTTAAAGTCGAGGGGTCTGTGAGAGAGTAGGATAGAGAAAGAACTTCCGTAAGTGCTCATAATGTCGCTCACCTCAGCACAGTTGATTCTGTGTTGCGCAGCTCCAGTGTGATGGCATCGCTACTAGACACATAGCTCTCGGAGATGGTGCAGGGTCGCGCGAAAGTCTCATTAATGTTGGAGCGATCGCAGGTGCGTGGAATGGTGCCGCGACAGAAACGCGCAATCACATTGGTCGAGTTGTGCGCATAGTGTCCAATTGAATTGTAGCCTTGGCTTGCCTCGCTGGCGCTGAGTGGCGAGAAAAGAAAGAGACGGGAGAGAGGCTTAGTAGAGGATCCTTAGAACGAGTGAAGAGAGTGAAGTGCTCTGAATAAATGATAGGATATATGGGATAAGTCAGTAATGTATGGATAGATAAAGTCTTTGTAAGAGGAGAGTGAGGATCAGAGATCATGGAAAGGAAAAGAAGAAAAGATTAGCCTAGATCTGGGAGGGATCAGTAGGAAAACAGAAAAGATAATGAAATCTATATCATGTATAGAGGGAGGGTAGAATTGCAAAAGGAAGACCTTAGTAGAGGATTACATATCAGCTATATATAAACGGGCTTACGAAAATCGGAGGAGAAGGGAGAAGAGCTTAGCAAAAGATGATATTATTAGGGTCTAGCTCACTGAGCATGAAGATGATGTAGGATGAGAGCTTGATTTGGCAACATAGGGTTCGATCAGCCTTAGCTCGTCTAATTCACTAACCAGTTGAGATCCTTGCAGACTGGAACATCTCTCAATGTGCCATCCCAGATGCGCAGCATGCCGCTGCAATCCTCCTGCGTTTGCAGCACGCCAATTGCACCCACAGACGTCTCATCCATTTGTCCGAATTCCGGATCTAGATTGAATTTCAGCACAGAGATCCAGACCTTGAAGCGGGAGAGTGGCTGATGCATGCCCGACTGACTGCTCGTGCGACGCGACAAGCTCAAATGGTCGAAGGTCTTGAAGACGCCCATGCCTTGCAGATGATAGAGGCACGTCGAATTGGGAGCCAGCGAGTGCTTCGGATTCTCGAGAATGCCGCGGCCAGTGCCGCGTATCCAAAACTCACACGGTTTTTTGTTCTTCGAGTACGTGGGACTCTGTATGTCCACGAATTGAACCTCGACCTGAAAGCGACAGATGTTTGAATTGCGACCTGTTAGGGGCTTAACAGCGGGTATAACTCACCTCCAATTGAAAGCCATAGAGCGGCAGCAGCTGCGATGAGGTGCCCGTGAAGGTGCCAAAGGGCGAGGTGCTAAACTCCACCAGCAGCTCCGGTCCGCTAGATACGGCAGCGGGCACCGCCTGACCGCCGCCGCAAAATTTCAGAATGATGGGGTCACGTGTGGTGTAGCCATCGTATACGGTCACGTAGTCCTGCGGTGCGAGCCAAAGCGGAACAACAGACAGAGCGAAAACAGAGAGAGAGAGAGAGAGCGCGAGAGAAAGAAAAAGAGAGAGAGAGAGAAAGAGAGAGAGAGAGAGCGAGAATGTGTGAGGAGCGCACGAAATGAGTGAGAACCAAAAAATAAAAACGTTGCGAACGACAATGTGTAATGGAAATGTTGTTCCATGTGCCTTAACTACATATTGCTATATATAAAAGGGGCTGCGTGGTCTAGGGGCGGGAGGCGTGGCTGTCTGGGTGTGTGTGCTAACTAAACTTGTGCAATTGCTGCGCCGCTTTAGCGCTCATATTTATTACGCATACTTCAAGGCCATTAGGCGTATACGTGATATTTTGCCAGCTCGTTAGAAGACTTAAATTTTTAGCCAAATTTTGATTTGGCCATTATGTAATTTACAATGTGTGTGCGTGTGTATCAGTCAGCGCTAGTTAGCTTTTTAGCGAATTTACATTTTATAGCTTTTAAATAGCTAAATGATAAAAAGTTTGCAGCTAAAGTTTTTCGGTTTATTTCTTTTCAAAGTTAGAGCAGCTTGAATGAAGACAAATTTTGCTACTGGTTCATTGATAGATATATATAGACTATAGATGAGTCTAAAGAAATGTGTGAATACTGAATTATATTACTTAAGTCTTATTTTCTATGCTAATGTGGGCGGGCGTGTGACTTTAAAGCTAATCTTTATATATAGCAGTCGTGCACTATAGCTCAATTTTACAGCTCACAGTCGTTCATTTCAGTCACTAGTTCACTTGGTTCAATATACAGTATACAGTTTGATAAATTAGGTCAATTTTATAGTTTCTAACTGCTCATTTTCTTCATTAGTTGAGCAAGTTCATGAACTACTAGTTCACTTTGACAAATTACATCATGCTAATAGTTCACAATTGTTCAATTTCTTCACTAGTTAAGTTCTTTTGTGAGCTACTAGTTCACTTTGACAAATTAGCTCAATTATATAGCTCACAAACTTTCATTTTATTCAATAGTTCAGCTAGTTCGTGAACTAGAGTTTGGTATACTAGTACACTTTGACAAATTAGCTCAATTTTTTTTTCTTAACAAGTTCAGTTAGCTCAACAATTTATGAACTATCGTCGAGAATACTAGTTTCCTTTGACAATTAAGCTCAATTTTATAGATCAATTTTATTGTATATTTTGTGCACTAACTCAAGTTGAATTTGTGTATTTGATACAGTAAATAAACGTGATAAGCAATGTATTGTTTGCCCCATCGAATGATGGAACTTATGACTCACGAATAGCTAAGCAATTCCAAAGAACTTACTAATCATAAGTGATTCAGGGAAAACGAACTAATTAAACTGAGCATTGCTCAGCGAACAAGTTCATTGGAACTTATTCAAATGACGGCACAGGTCTTCCGTCTCTTTAAAGCGCAGCAACTTTTGCATTCTGCTGGAATTCATGAATTTATGCAGCACATAAACGAGATACCAGCTCATGTATGTGTGTGTGTGCGTGTGTGTGCATGACATGTGTGTGTGTGTGCGTGTGTGTGTGTGTATTTGCATTTGTGTTTACAGCATTTTTGCATAATTTCATGTATTTTAATTGAGTTGGCCCTCAGCAACTGCCTCGACCCACTCAGGTAGCTGAGGTGGAGGAGTGACGCCACAGCAGCTGTCCGCCAGGTGGGCAATTCAGCCTGTGGGCTCGCTTGCATTTGCCAACCATTTTGGCCACGCATGACAAATTAGTTTTGTGGCTGGCGACTTTTGCATTAATTTAAGTGAGGTTAGGAGAGAACGAGATAGAGAGAGAGAGAGGTAGACACAGCAATGGGGACCACAAACAGGATCAGGTAATAGAGAACCGCAAATTTATTGAAAGCGTGGCATTTATATAAATTATCAAGCGGTGAGGCGAAGTAGCAGCACTACTGAGAGAGTAATGACTGGAACTGCAGCTGAATGTAAAAACATGTGTAGTCAAATGTGCAATGCACTGAGAGAAAAGAGCTGCTTGAATGTCTAATTTGAATAATGGAATTGTGAGCCTATTTATTATCATAGAATATATAAAACATAATCAAAGTTTTGCTTAAAAAGAAAAGAGCTAATTCTAATTGGAAGTTGTACTCCCATAAAAGGAGGTCAGCTCTTGGCTAGTGCTTCAAAAAAGTACCAAAATACTTAAAGCAAGTCTCGAGTGTTTTGTTGTGAGCTGCTTTCTAAGCCCCAAACTAAGTTTAAGATTTTATTGTACTATTTCTCCAAGTGCATGCTTCTGTCAGTCTATATAAACTCCAATAAGAATTGCTTTGCTCTGCATAATCATTTTGCTAAACTTAATAGCTTCTGTCATAGCTTGAAGAAATTTGTGAGTTCAGCTAAACTCCTATGTTGAAGCTTCAATTTTTTTCTAAAAGTTTGTTCTTCAATATGAAATTTAAGGTGCTGAAGAACTTAATGCCGAAGCTAAAGAAATATCAAATTAATTTTAAATCTTAAGTAGGTTCTTAGCTTCATTTTTCGTCAAGTGTATGAGCTCCTTAGCTTAGAGTCCTAGAAGATATAAAAATATCTATAATTTATGCCTTCACTTCGAGCTTATAGTAATTTTTGAGTCAATCTTTACTTCAAAGATGCTTAAGCTAACATTTTTCTGACAATGTATTTTCCAATAAGAATGTGCATTTCGAAGCTGATGAAATTTGGAGCTCATCCCCGCATTAGACGTTCTTTAGTCACAACGTTTTTTGCCAAGTGTATGTGTATTTGATGGTCGTTTCGTGCTGTGGCTTTGGATCGCTTTTCCGGCGATTATGCACACATGCCGCACCAAAAATGGCCAACACTTTGGCCGCTGTCCGGCTTAGCGGCGCGACAAAAAGAACAAATAAACCGAAAAAAATAGAACAGAAAATATAGAAGGAAATGAAAAGGACAATTTGTAGGCGGCACGAAGTCAGGCCAGAGCCTGCTGCAGGCCATTTGGCCAAAAACAAAACAAGCGAGCATTTAATGGCCAGGAATTAGTCGGACGGTCACGAGCAAGGATAACAAAATTGAATGCAAGGAAAAGAGAAGGAGAAAGGAAGGAGAGGCCTTTCGACAAAATGCAGTGATTCGCGTTTGCTCGTCAAAGCATTTGCAGTGCTAATTCGAAGGCAAATAGCACGAGTGTCCTGCATAGCATAATATTGTGAAGAGGCAGGATATGCTAGGATTCAAGTGCTTCACTTAAGCCTTAAGCTGCACGGAAATCCATCAGAAGTGGACAAACGCCAGCTATAGATGCTCTAAAGAGCTCCACTCACTCGGGAGCGAGTAGATGGGAGAGCGGAGCTAATGCTCGACGTGCATTAGATGAATATCCTGCGGCTATAATTCACACACAATTTACATAAGCTGAGGCACGTTCGGGCACTTTTGTAGTTAGCCTAGACCGAGACATCCTTGGCCAAGACCGCTCGCCCCGGCCCACCCATTGCGATTTATGATGTGCGTGTCGAGTGTTCATTTATATAAATCCAAAATGACGAATTCCTGTGGAGCCAAGACAGCCACGCCCCTGCCTACTGCTACTTAGCTACAGCTCTCCGCGTGTCCTTTAATGAATATATTATCTTCTCAATGAATGTCCTTTTGTGATTAATTGTGCGCCTCGACAAACAATTGTTGCCAAAGATAACAGATAAGATATATATATATACTTAGTTGGGGGGTGGTAGGTGGGTGGTGGGTGGCAGGTGGGGGTGTGTGCATGGGCGATCTACGAAAACTAAGTTTTGCTTGTTTGAGGCGCTTTGTGTGACAAAACAGTATATATATAGCAATAATTTTTTGGTTTCTTTTCGTTTACCGTCGATTTCCACTTGGCTTTAACATTTTCCTATTGGAGAAAATATACATATATATATACAGACACATATAATACATATATAATACATATATGTAGCAGAGCGATTTGATTTTGCGTGCATTTCAGAGCCAAATGAGGTGTGAGAGAGATAGAGAGAGAGAGCCCGCGAGCTAGTGAGCGGAATATAGCGAGAGCGTGCATACTATGGAATGAGACGATGTTCTTATTGGAACTGCAGAGACAGTGCCAATGACTCGCGCGAAGTGCCAATTGGGATACAACAGAGAGAGAGAGAGAGGGATATGGAGAGTCTGTGCTAGATCAGTATTCCAATTAGGACCTATTCTTTAGCTAACTACGAGCTTCAACTTCATATGTTACTCAATCAACTAATATTTTTTTATATATTTATTCAGTATTTATAGTATATATAAAGTTATATATATCGTTAAATATAGTATGTATATAAAATTAAATCTCTAGAATATTTATATGTTTTCAGAATTTTCTAGCATATGCCAAAGTCTTTTTACAATTTTTAGTTAAGGTTTTTAGAACTTTGCTATTTCTTAAAGCTCTAATTTTTGTACTTAAGAACTTTCCCCAAATATTTTCCAGGCAATTTCTGATTTGAATTTATAATATAATATAAAATAGATTTCTTGCTTTAAATTTTTTAGTTTAATAAGTCTGCCAAGATTAGAGACTATGACATAGGAATACTATATATAAATTCAGTTATATTTGTGCTAATTCAATTTCTTTGCCTACTTTTCCTTATAGCTTCTCCAAAATCTGTCTTAAATTCTATTAGAACAATTTCAAAATTTAAGCTTTCCCACAGTCCTTGTTAGGCATCGTAGAGCCAGCCAAGCTGCCGTGGCTAGGAAATTCCTTACTAATCAAATTCCCATTAGATTTTGCAGCTTGCCAGCTTCTCTCATTTCTTTTCGCTTTGTTTGCTTGTGAGCTCGTTAAGAGCTGAGTCAAAAGTTAGGCCGGGCAACTTTAAAGCCTAACCAGACTCTATATATATAAAGATATATATATATGTATGGAGAGGGAGAGCGAGTGAGAGATGTAGTGAAGGTTTCCACTCTTATCGCATTGACAAACAAAGAGGCTACGAAATTAACACTTCCCACTCTGAGAGCCTATCGAAGCGCAGCTCGAAGGCAATGTCAGATTTGGGCAGACGGACGGACGGATGGACAGAGCTGTCGAGCTGTATGTGGGCCAGAGTCAAACAGCGCCAGGACAGGGTAGGGCAGGGCAGGGCTGGAGTATTCCCGTTGTCCTGCTCTGGAATTGAGGCAAACAACAGAATATTTCACCCGGACTTTTCTTTCTTTTGCTCGTTTTCCTTTTTCGTTTTCAATTTTTGTCGTTCTGCTGAGGTCTTTTCATGTTCTGTCTGCCTCGGCCATTGGCCGCTCGTTAAAATTGTCGGCGCAGATGTTCAGAGTGGGGGATTGGTGCAGTGTAAAAGACAATATGGAGTGCATTGAAAGTGGGCGGAGGGGGTGGGGCATTCATTTTAATTACCTGAATGTAATCGCAGTCATTCCATGTTTTCAGCCTCGGCTCCAGCTTCTTATCCTTGTCGCTGGCACTTGGCGGCGGCGGCGCCATTTTGTTTGTGGCCGATGCCTCCTGCGTGGAGATCCAAACGAGATTCCCCTTGGGCTGTTTAACTAGAATCAGCGCATGTTTGCCATGGGGCACGTCGTGCTGTGTGTTTTCAAATTACAATTAAATGCAAATTAATGAACTGCATTTACAATAAATTCAATTTCGGAACAAAGTGCATGTTCAGCCAGCGGGCAAAGCTGATGCTGAAGACTCCTTAAGGTGTACGCAAAGTAAATACTGCCTAATCCTGCATAGCTTATCTATAATACCTAGAAGTGCTCTACAGATAGTTGAGTTTAGTTTATAAGACTATAAGACTTTAAGTAATCAAAACAATTTAAATCGTGCAGGGTTACCTTTCAAGCCTTTAGTCTAATGGGTGCACAGAAAGAAAGACTCACAATCCTATACTAGAATATCTGTGGAACTTCAGGGCAAGATTACTTTATCTTCTATAAAGAAATACATTCAAAGTTTCCCCAAAATTAGCAACCTCTCCTCCAGATTACCATCACCTCTCGCTTTTCACCTGCTTTTGCAATCATCGTCCAAATTTCATCTATTTAAATTTTTATGTCGCCACATTTCGCACACATAAATATTTGAATAGCCCCGCTCTGACGACACCACACCACGGACAATAGGCTTTTTTCATAACTCAATATAGTCATAAAGTCTTGGGGGCGACATAATCTTGGGCGCACGCCCAGTTAATCAAAGAACGTATTCTATTTTGGAATGTAAATTGCTTTTAAATCGACTTCGCTGTCGTTCGCTGACTTTTCAACTTTGTCAATGCCCGGAAAATTTGGCGGAATATTTTCTTTTCCTCTTCTCTTAGTCTGGCATTTTTATGAGCTAAATGAAACAGGGATCAGGCGGCAGTGCTACATGAGGAGCTGCTTTAATGCGCTTAACGTTGGGACGAGAGGTTCTTGGGGCATGTCTAGGGCGAGGTGCTGGCAAAGGGCTTAAGATGTAAATAAATTTTAGATAGTCTAGGATATGGTGAAGAGGCTAAGACATGAAGCTGCTTCGTAAAGCGTAAGATCGAGGGGACATGGAAGGCTAGGAGAAGCTACTAAGACAGCTCAAAAGGTGTCAGGGGAAATAGAGAAGAGCTAAGCTGCAGTGAAATGTCCTTAGAAAGAAAGGGCTTGGTGAAGAAAGGGCTTGATTTGACCTACCTGTCGCACTGCATAATAGCAGGTGAGATTGCGTGGATAGATGCCCGGATAGTTGGGCGACTGCAGACGGCAAGGCTTCTTGTCGCAATCGCTGAAGATGCGCGAGCAGTAAGTGCCCGGTATAAGATCACCTGAAAGCAAATTTAGCTATAAGAGAGGAGATACGATAGCTGAAAAGGCTGCTTACCCAGATAGTATTTGGGCTCTGTGTAGTTGTGCTCGTCCTTGGCCAGCGGCTTCTCCAGCGAGTCCATGAAAGTCTTGTTGTTCGCATACGCGCTAAACAGACTAAAGTCCTGGCCGTAGCGATCAGAGCGAGCGCCGCTGGAATTTGTGAAGTCCTCCAAGACTGAGCCAGAGGCTTGAGCCTGTTGCTGCTGGGGATTGAGGAAGCTGCTGCGATTGTGCCACTGGCTGAGCTCTGTGAGAGAGGGAGAGAAAGTGAAAGAAGAAGTTTAGTTTAAGGAAATCCTCTTTTTGTTCAAGGACTCACCTGCCAGCTTAATGCCGCCGTAGCGTGTCACCGAGCTATCCTTTGAGAGCACCTTGTACCTAATACGAAAATCGAAGTTGTAGCCGCTTTGATCCCGAGCCAATCTTCAAGGGGATAGTCAACAAAAAGACATACACTCATTAGTTGCACTAGGCAGGGAGGATTCATTTACTCACCTGTTTAGCTTTATGGTGAATATGAGCGAACGCGTTTCGCTGTAGAATAAAACTGGTCCCCACGAGCTGCCACACCACATGCCACCAATTGGTGTTCGAGCGGATTCTGCGATTTGCATATAGCCATCCGGACAGCCCTCGTGCACGTAGCTGGTGAAGCGGCCAATCGTAAAGCTGTCCAGGGTAACCTAAAGTCGCACAACAGAGAACAACTTAATTAACAGAGCTCAGATTACTGATTATTCAGATTCCTACTGAGTCTTTAGACTTTACGGATATAAGACTTAGCTTGTTAACTAATATTCAGATCGATAATTATCGATCATATGAAAAACCTTTCGTAGAGGTTTTACAAAATAGAACCACTTCTATCAACATATGAGTCGTTAGAATTAATAATCTGTAATATAATATAAATCATACTCCTTATTTAAGCAATCGCTATATATATTTATCGATTTTTAGAAAAATATCTTAATTGATCACTTGTTTTATTCGAATTCAATTGCAATATAATCTAGTTGACAAATTTTTAGGCTTTATCGACATTCTCTCATGTACTGTTGGCTTGCATTATTATTATTTATCGAAATCGATTTATCGATACATTAAATGAAGCTAATTAAAATTAGTTGTCAACTTTGATAATATACCATTTTAAGTTTTTCAAATAAGGTTAGAAAACGTTAGGCCAGACAATCGATATATATCGATTTTGGTTGATTAGAATTTTTTTAATACGTCATCGAACTCAAACTTTACAAAAATTAATTTGCAGTCTTTAAGATCATATGATATAACCATATTTGCCTTTCGATAATAATCGATATGGTTATCGATATTATTCAATTTTTCAGTTAACTTTGAGTAGACGATTAACTAAATTGTATGAATATTGTCTACTAAAATAACATTTTATATGATTGGTTAATCGATTTAAGGTAAATGGATAAAGCTATCGATCAATTTAAGTAATCATTAATTCATGCACACCTCTCTTCAACTGACTCAGTTTCAGCATACCCCTTAGCATAGCTGCTATAGGGTATCTAAAAAGAAGCTGTCTGCTATAATAAAGTTTTGGCCAGTTGCATATAGCTGAGAGTATATCAGTGAATTGGTTGGCTGCTTGGCTGGTTGGCTGACGTGGCTAGCTGCCTCGCAGGATGCTCTCAGAAGGCATTCGAGCGTGCCAAAGCCGTTGGCCAAGTACCTCCGTCGCGCCCATATCGCCAACCGCCACCCACAAGAAAAGGTGTGAAGTGGCGTAATAACTAACAGGGTGAGCTTCCTGTGCGAAGGGCCTGTAGGTGGAGGAGGAGCAGGAGATGGGTATATACGACTGCCCTGTCAGTTGGAGTTACGCTTCGTTTGCTGCACGCCTTTTGGGATTGGGATTTGCTTGGCTTTGAAATCAATATCGAGCTTTGTTGTTGCTTTTGCTTATCTTTTTAATGGCTTAGTTTATCCCAGCTGGCAAATGAATTGTGAAAGGCAAGGTAGATGCCAGCTCACCTGTACGACATCGCCATGCTGTCCGCCCGCTGCCGTGAACGTGAGCACGCAAACAAAGGGCACACGATCCTGTTTGGGCCGGTGCAGCTCCAAAGAGTATGTCTGTCCAATGTCTCCATAGTAGGTGCGATTACAACCTGCAAGAAGAAGAAGAGAAGGAGTTGAGAGAGAAACTGTTAGCAGCTCATCAAGACGCTGTTAAAGGCAATTAACTTTAAACGAGCAATTATGTTGGTGTTGTTTTCTGTTGTTTGCTTATTGGCTATCAAAGCAACGCCTAAACACAATGTACCCTATCTTAGTCTAAACACCTTTAATCAGTAATACCAGTGTTTATGAAATGCCCACTCAAATTAGATGAAATTAATAAAGGCAAAGTGTTAATTGTCTGTTAAGTTAACAGCAGCTTAAGTGCAAAATTAGCGCCACTTTACATAAGCTTTACAAGTATTTCAGCATACCATACAAATTTTCTGTTATTGTCTCTGTTAACATTTTCTTATTAATAACTCATCGATAATCGCGTTATATACATTTTAAGTACTTAATCCATCTGCCATCCCTAACTACTGGCGCTATCGGTATTAGTTGGATATCGTATATAAATACGCTCATATTATAATTTATTAAATACCAATTTATCGGAACAATTAGCAAATACTTCAATAGTCTGGCAATTCCAATAGCTGCATAATCGAAATCAGTTACTTATCGGTCGTTCGCGTTGCTGATGGTGTGTGTGGTAAGTGCGAGAACAAATACATATATTTCGTACCTTTCCTTTGCACCATCTGCTTTCCCATGCAGTTCCAATTGGAATGCAAATTTGATGTGGAAAAAGCCTAAAAGCAATTTGAATTTCAATTTCAATTTGTTATGGCAATTGTCACAACTTATTGCAGACTTTTCAATTAGTGTTATTAAAAATGTATGGGCTTTGTGTAGACAATCGAGTAAAACGGATTCCCATTCAATTTGGATGCGCCACCTGAGCACCAGTTCACGTTCTTGTTTGTGTTGTGGCTGCTGCATTCAATCAAATTCGACAGACAGTCGAGCGATTATGAATACGCAATTAGATAATTATGCTTCTAATGCAAATGCCCAAATATGGACATACATAGAAACATACATACATACATTCGTACATTAATATGTGTGTGTAGATTTGCAGCTGCATTTCATCAACAACAGTTATTTTGATTGAGCATTTGGCTTTCAACTCATATTGTGGAAATATTGATGGCTTGACAGCGCACTTAGTCAACAATAGGTGTTCGTTTTTCAATTAAGTCCCGTTATATTTTTCTGTTATTACATTTGCATTTGCTGTTCTGATCGTCTCGCGCATTGAATGTCATTGAAAATACTTAATTAAATTCATCAACGCTTGACATGACATGGCCCTGTACTCACTCTCCCGCTCAGTCAATGACTGGGCACACGGCTCCAATGGGCAGCCAATTGGCAAAGTGAGAAGTTCACTTTGCCGCCATTATGAGGGCCTTTCTGTTCGAGTGCGAATGTGAACGTGAGTGGGAGTGTATGTGTGTATCTGTGAGCGTGAGCGTGCTTAATTACATTTACACATGCTAGCTGGTTGCATGGTTGGAGAACGTTAAGGGAGTGAGAGAATAATGTCTGCTCGCTACACTGCGGCGAAAGGCCGCTTAAGCATTGGAAGTGTTTGCATGTCAAATCGACAAAATGGAACGCATGCGAAACTAAAGAAGATCGAGTGGGATGGAAGTATGCAATTCTAAATTTGACAGTTAGAGGGAGCGAGAGGCAGAAAGTTGTAAGAAATTGTAATTGTGGAAAGCTAAATAGCTGAAAAGGGGAGAGCGCGAGGGAGTGAGGGAGATAGATTGATCAGGGAAGAAGCATATGATGTTACACAGTAGTCAACTAGTCAGAGCGAGAAGGCAACGTTTTATTTAGTTATGCGTATTAGAGTTACAGTAAATGCTCATAAATAAGACCCTTAACAAAAAATTTTGCAAAAATGATAAAAATATATATTTACTATTTCGATAAAAATAAGCAATTCAGAAATTAATTTTATAGTCATCAAAGGCTGATGTGTTATTTAGCGTGTGCTTACTGTGCTCTTTCATTGCATTTTTTTCTTTCACTTTTAATCTCTTCGTTAAACGTTTTTATGTGCATTTCAACTTGCCTTTTAATGGAATTTTCTCTCACTGTAGTTCAGATTTAATTTTGCACAATGTAAGGGTATAAAAAAGTATAACGGTTGATTGCCTGTTTCATTCGTTCAGTTTAATTTCGTTTTCGCTGCCCACCTTTTTGCACCTGTGTGCCCTGTAAATTAAGCAAACATTGGCGCAGCGCAGTGCAAGTTTTCCTGTTGCCTGCACGGCTAATCTCTTATGACAGCTTTGCATAATTGCTGGCAACACCAGCTAGTCACGCCCCCGTACGCCTCAATACTTACGTGTGCAGAAGCGCGGCTCATCGCTGCCATCGCCGCAGTCGTTGTTGTTGTTGCAGAATTTGCTAAGCGGAACGCAGCGGCCATTGGAGCAGCTAAACTCGGCGAGCGAACAGCCTGTTCCGGAACTGGAACCGGAACCGGAGCTGGAACCATAGCCAGACAAATTGGCAGGTTTGGCAGCGTTTGATGTGGATGCGGCAGCAACTGCAGCAGCTGTTGCGGCAGCTCCTGCTGTTGTTGTGGCAACTGCTGCCAGCGCCAGCAGCAGCGTCAGCGTCGACGTTGACGCTGCATTCACACGACGCTGACTGCGACGCTGTTGTTGATGTTTAGGTTGACGTTCACGTTGACGTTGACTTTGACTGGAAGCCTTAATTGCATGACATTGTGTTGCAATTGTTGTTGCAATTGTTGTTGTGGTTCTTGGTGTTGGTATTGTTGGCATTTGAAACATTTGTGTGACAGTTATGTGGCGCTCATTTGACTGCCCTTTGACCCCGTCCACGCTCAGTCTGAAGTGTTTTGCTGTTGCGGCAGTGTTTGTTGCAATGTTTGTTGTTCGTTGTTTCAGTTTCTTTGGCCTTTTTCTGCTTTTGTATTTCTGACGCCATTTGAATGTCATTTTGGTGTTAGTTGTATCTGCAAATAACAAAATAATGAATTAAACAATTTTAAATTAATTTGATGAATTTTATTGCAACACACAAAACAGTTAAAATACAGAGCATCCGTCAGTCGTATAACTACAGTTATCTACTTTTTTTGCAATTTGAAATAATTCAATTTTTATTTCAATTTAAGCTCAGTGCTTATTATGCATTATTTTGCAATCCATTTCGTTTGGACTTTCAATGAATATTCACGAATTAATTTTTCGTTCTCCAAAAATTAAGCGAATATAAAAAATAAAGGATTTGCGTTTTGCGATTTATGCCCCAAAATTTATGGCCAAATATTTATCGCGCGGCAAATAAATTGAAATAAATGCGCTCTGCCTGCGTCGCAGTCGCAGCCGCAGTCGACGTGGGCAGCGGCAGCGTGTGGCTCATAAATATTTGCTGTATAAACAGTTTTTATTTTGTTTTTATTTTTTATTTTTCTCGTTCTTCTAAGGACGAATTTTCACGCGCGCTGCACAAAATGTGTGCAAAACTGTGTAAAAGGGGGAATTTCCCACCAAAAAAATGAAAATAAAAAAGAAAAGCTG